ATTTCTCGTCGTGGCCTATTGTATGCCATCGATTCCTGTTGCTGAGGAGATTCTTGGGGTAAAATCTCCTTTTCATCCATAGTATCCACATTAGTCACCTCAGAATCACTTTCTGTCTCGTGGACACTATCTAGTTCAACTGTTGTTTCAAACTCCACCTGCTGCCGAGTATGCTCCATACACATATGCCACAGTTTGAGCATTTCTGAATCTGCATCCTCTTGTACGACTGCAGTTGTCGTTCCAATAACTGTACTACCATTATAGTAATACAAGTTGTTTCTCCTTGTGTCTTTCATTACCACAAGAGTGCCTGAAGAAACTTTTAGAATTCCGTCTCGCATATTCACCGTGAAGCCTTTAGATTCCAAGGCTCCCAAGAGATGAGATTCTTTTTCAACTTCGGTACATACTGAACATCTGTCAGAGTTCTAGTTGAGCCATCATGATTCTTCAACCGAATTGAACCTATCCCAATTGTTTTACAAGCATCATCATTGCCCATATAAACAACTCCACCATCAAGTTCTTCAAAATTAAAGAACCACTCCTTGTGGGGACACATATGATAGGTATAACCTGAATCTATAATCCACTCATTTGTTCCAGAGGTGGATGGTAGGCTAACTAGACAGAAATCTGACTCATCCTTTTCACGCTCAACAACGTATGCATCAGAAGTAGCTTTGCCCTCTTTCTTTTGCAACTTCGGACAATCTTTCTTCCAATGCCCTTTCTCACGACAAAAGGCACATTGATCCCTATTGAGTTTTCCCTTTGAACGAGATCTCCCTCTTCTCTCCTTCTTACGACTCTGATTTTGACTCCGCCTTCTTGCTACAAGAGCTTCTGCTGACTCATCTCTATTCTCCTTCTGATCCTTCTTCCGAATTTCATAATTGGACAGAGCAGAACAAACTTCTTCAAAGGACAATTTTTCTTTCCCATAAAGAAGTGTAATACTAAGATAATCCAACTCATCTGGAAGAGCTCCAATTAACAACATAGCCTTATGTTCATCTTTGAATGTTTCATCCAAATTTAACAAATCAGCAATTAATCTATTAAATGTATCAATATGGCTACTGACATTCGTACCTGGTCTCAACTAAAGATGAAACAGTTTTTTCATCAAATAGAACTGATTCTCATTACTTCTCTTCATGTATTTGTTTTCCAGCGCCTTCCATAACTTATTGGCAGATGTCTCTTTCATGAATGGATATTTCTTCTCTCTACAAAGACATGAGCGAATCATCTTACACGCTTTTACATTCAACCTCACCCAGTCTTTCTCATAGACATCTTCTAGTTTTTCTTCCTCCAGAACGATATCTAGATCCTGCTGATACAAACTATTCATTACCTCACTCTGGCACAAGCCAAAATTATTTTGGCCATCAAATTTTTCAACATCAATTTTTACATTTGAAATCGTTATCATCTTTACTGGTGCAGATGGTGGTGCCGCGGGCGGTAATGCCTCGGACAATGAATCCTCGGACAATGATGCCATTTATGCCTTGCTCAATTGGCTTGGTAAACAAAGTTCCCAATAACCAAGCTCCACAAATTATTATATTTAATAGCTAACCAACAAATCAACAATAGCCCTAGGTAGTAGTAAGTGCTGAAATAATTAAATAAGCACCAGAAAAATTCCTAGGAAACAATGGAGGGGTCATAAATGGTCCCACTTAAAATCCAATCTCCTTGGACTTTTATCGTCTTTTTGACAGAATTTTCCTAGACATGCATATAACCATAAAAATAGCTACTCACTGTCCTAAACCTAGGCTCTGATACCACTTGTTATGCAACGGAAATATAAACTCTAACGCTAGCTATTGAATATAATAATAACAAGTAATAAAGCATAAATAAATAGCCTAAATTAAATGCAAAAATAAAGAATACTAGGAATTAACGAGGTTCGGTATTGAAACCTACGTCCTCGGGCGCTGCAAAAGAAAACTCCACTATCTCCAAACAATATTACAAATATTTGGGCAATACAACAAATACCCAAAACAAAGGGGAGATACAACAAAACTTGCAAACTAAATGGTCCTTAAAGAAAGAACCCTAAACAAAAGAAGTATAATGAATTACAACTTAGGATACAAATAACAATGATTTAGGTCCTTATATATAGGCCACAAAAGTTTCTCACTTTTCATTCCCAAGCAATGTGGGAAAAACTAACATTTTGGCCTATTACATATAAGTTCCTAAACTTTTTTCTATTATACTTCTACCCCCATGTGATTTGCTAAATGAGCCATTTTTCCAACAGTTGTCGGCACCGTGATGATTAGCTGATTCATGAAAAAGCGAATCTCTAAGCTGAAACGAATTTTCAGTTTTGATAACCTCAACAAGTTGATGATAGACCGAAAAGACTTAATGAAATCCTTCTTTGTCTCCAATCCTGTTCGGAGGCGGAAGGTGTCTACGGTCTGCCAGATAAACATTTTCCAGAAAGTTGATCTTCCAGTCATCAATTTTCAGAAGACTTCCTTGGTCATCCCCTGAACCTTCGAAGATTTTCAGCGACTCTTTTAGCTTCTTGATGTACTGAGATACTCTTGACTTCACTTGCTCATCTCCAATTTTTAAATCAAGAAGCTGATCTTCTAGTTTCTTTATCACAAGGAAAATGGTTATTTTGGTAGCCGTGGATTGTCCACCTGATTTTAAGAAGTAACTGATCCGTTATAGATATGCAGAATTTCAGATCTACAATTTGTGTTAATTTCATTTAGCCCCTGAGAGAGAGAGCTAAATTTAACCCCCCCACAAAAGTACACCCCTGCCCTGACGTTAATAACTTAAAATGGTATTAAAAAGGGTCAATTGAAGTAAACTAAACAGGGTTATTTGCGTCATTTCAAAATATTAACCCCTTGAATAAAGAGGTATTATGGTCTTTTTGAAATTAAAAAAAAAAAAAAAAGATTCTCCCTTCCTTCTCCCTATTCCCCTTTCTCTCTTTCCCCTCTTTCTATTTGATTCTCTTTTCTCCCAACCGTGAGCTCATAAGGATGGATATTGAAGATTTTTGGGTTTTTGTTTGCGAATTTGTGGTGATTGATGGAGTTGTATAGGTTGGTGGCCGGATTCACGGAGTTGTGTCTGTTGATGGCCGGATTCATGGACTTCGTATGTGTTAATGGTCATTTTACATTATAAAACCTTATTTTAATTCAGTATCCAATACCTTTTTCGCTTTAACAAAACATAACTTACTATTTATGAGACCCAATGACTTTTGCCATCACTCTTTGCAACCATTTACTCCTCCAGGAAACGCTTGGCTTATTTCTATCTTCCCCTTATTTCTTAGTTTCACCATTTCCTAGTTGTCCTGTTATTATCTCTGTTTTATTTTTATTTTACTTTCGGTCCCTTCTGTTTTCAGACTAATAAAAAAACAAAAAACAAAGGTTGAAAATGGCCGAGGCAATCGTAACCCCTATCACAGTTCTTGTTTGGGAGGTTGGCAAGTTGCTGGTTGCTCCGATCGGCAGTCCGTTTATGTACTTGTTCAAGTACAAAAGGAACATCTAAATTCTCGAAGTACAAGTTAGGAGGCTGAAGGATGCAAGAGACGAAGTGGAAGCTAGGGTCGTTTATGCTGAAAGAAACCTGGAAAAGATCAATCAGGATGTTATCGATTGGCTAGCAGATGTGAACTCCGTCATTCTTGAAGCAGAGAAATTGATTCAAAAGCAAGAAAACGACACGCGACGGTTCAACAAGTTGTGCTCCAACTTGATAACCCGCTACAAGGACGGCAAGAAAGCATATAAAATTAGGTGGACTGGTGTCGAATCAATGCTTTGGCACGAAATCAACTTTGAAGGATTTGGCTATCCTAATAATCTACATGAGACACGGCTGGCTTTGAACAAAGATTATTTGGCTTTCGAATCAAGAAATTCCACTGTGAAGAATATATGGGTTGCTTTAAATGATGCAAAAATAGACATGATTGGGGTTCATGGGATGCATGGTCTTGGCAAAACCATGCTGGTGCAGGAAGTTGGTTGGCAGGCCAAGAAACACAAGTTCTTTGACGAAATGGTTTTCCTAAAGGTAACAGAAACTCCGAATGTAAATAAGATTCAAACAGAAATTACAGATAAATTAGGTCTACAATATGATAAAGAGAGTGCAAAAGTAAGTAAGTTATATAAAAGATTGAAGAACAATAACAAAATCCTTTTAATTCTAGATAATATTTGGGAAGATCTCGATTTGAGGACTATCGGGGATTCCTTTCGGATCTGACCGTGGGGGTTGTAAACTACTGCTCATAACAAGAAAAGTAGAAGTAGACGTGTTAGAGACTATGGATTGCACAATTAAAATTTTTGAGATGGGTTTTGTAACTAAAGAAGAAGCTTGAAGACTATTTAAGAAGATTACAAGTAATTAAATCATAGAATTTTTACTTTTCGTTTTTGGCTTTCAACATTTTATCACTTATTTTTATAGTCTTGGCTCTTTTATATCTTTATAAAAGTTTTATTCAATTTTAATTTGTTCACACATAATTTCTTCGTGCTGGGTTGTGGTTTGATGTGAATAAATACAAATCTAGATCTTTAGAAAAGTTTATAACTTCACTAGTATACTTATAGATAACAAAATCGACTTACAGGGCTAAGGCTATTTTTTAATTGAATGTTAGTCAAATTTTCTAAGCTCTTAGAAATAAGTTTTTCCAGTGGTGAATGGATATGGATGTAGAAGTTTTAATTAATTTTTGAATTGGTTTTATTGGCTTTCACAATAAAGTTAAAAAGAACCTATATCCTTAAGACACCCTTTAAATCTTTTTCAAATAGTATTTGCCTCAATATCATACTTCTTCCCAAAACATGATTTTAGGTAATCAAATTAAGGGTGAAAAGAAACTAAGACTTAGTTTGTGATTGTTTTAGCTCGATCCAGACAGGTGAGTAACCATTACATTAAAACAAAATTGTAAGCAACATTTCAGCAGTCAAACAGATGGTGAGCGCAATTCTCTTTTCCTAATTGTTGCCAATTACAAGATTTGATGAAATATCTACACTATAATTTTTCCAAGCCAAGAAAAACAATGCACAATTGAACAACAAATTTAGTCTAAAATTTTTACTTGGACTTCCTTGTAGACTTTGACCTTTTCATTTTGTAGCTAGACTTATCTTCAATGCTTGTCCATGTATACCCACTTGGTATTGCAAAAGAGTCTGTCTCCCAATGTTGTTGCACCCCTCCTGTCGTTGATGACGATGAACACCGCTGCTGCTGCTGCTTGCTCGCCGATTGGCTGCTGCTTCTCCTTAGCCATGACGATGAAGAAGACGATGACGACCATGATGATGATGGGAATGATGAATAATGTGTGTCTGATTTTTTATCATCCTCGGATGAGCCTCTATGGAAATGTCTAGGACTTGAGAGTGGAGTGAAGAATTGTTCTGTTGATTGTGGCTCAACAAATTTTGTAAATGTCACCACCACCTTCACCGTAGGGACCACCGGAATCGCCACCTGACCCACACAAACAGACAAACAACCAAATCAAATCAAATCACCCTTTGATCAAACTTTTGCCGGCAAATCAATTCCTACATCAATCCGTTCAGATTCAAAGCTATGTCAAAAAAAAGTAAAAGCTAACCGCTACTCTATTTTGTCAAAATTTAACCATCCACCCCCTGGTCCCACTTCGTTTGACAAAAGGTTCTGATGACGTGGCGGAATCACGATGTTTCTTTTCCCCGTGGCCCACGACAGGGGTAACATTTAGGACCCAGTCGTCATACCCCAAAAAAGAAACCTCGGAAGATCATCTGGGTCCCACACACCTATCACACCGTCCAAAGACTTCCACGTCGCATCATAAAACAAACATAGACCAACCCCAAAGCTTCTCCTCTAATCAGAGAAGAGTATCAAGCAAAAGCATCAAAAGTACATAATTAAAGCAAAGCAAAACACTGGACCCCACATGACCCCACAATTTTAAACTAAATTTATTTAATTTCCAAAAATGCCCTTACCTTAACCGGGAAAGTCCCGGACGGGAACTTAGTTGTCAACAGTTCACTCAACCGTCGCACAGCCTTCACTTTATTCGCCAAAATATCAAGTAACGGAAGTAACTCCTCCGTCTCTAACGGAAACTGTTCCGTTAACCAAACCGACGGTCGTAAACTTATCTACCTGATGGGCCTGATTTAACTAACTGGTTTTCATTTATTGTTTGTTGTTTGAACCCATTAAAAAAAAAAAAAAAAAACCATAATAAATAAAATTCATTAAATAAAGTTATATGCACACCACCTTCAAGAATTAATATTATCTTCTTCTAATATTTTAAAATTATTCTCAATGAATTAACTTCCTCAAAGCTATGAAATTTCAAATAAAATTGAATATATACCAAACCAAACCAAAATGAAAGATTGTTAATCCACAAAACATAAAAACAGTAAGATCAAAAATATAAAATATTAATTTGTTTATGTACAAGAAGGAAATGAAAGGGTTTTAGTCAGGTGAATGGTAAAATATTCTACTATATCAAACTTATTTTTCTTATTTTAATAAATATTTGTGTTCCTGTAAGACTTGATGTGGCCACATACCACGATGATGTAGTTTATGATGATTTAAATGAGTTATTCAATTGCCTCTCTTGATCTTTGATGGGAGGTTAAAAGCAGTTGATTTGATGAGAGTTCCTTGGTTTTTAGCCAAGTCATTTATAAGAATATCATCTTCTCCATCAAAGAGATATCGCAAAAACAAAAAAGGTTTTGGAGACATAGGCTAGAAAACATCTCTCAAACACTCACTCACAAATCATTCAAGCTTGACTTTCTATAACACTTGAACAATATAGCGAGAGATAAGTGATTAAATTTCGTATTATATTACACATGTAATGTACTACATTTGACAACTTCCAAGGCTTGCATAAAAGAGTCGCAGTCGATTTTAAAGGGATATTTTCCAATATGGGCAAATCCGTTGTAATTGACCGAATTGTTTTTGAGTAAAATTATTTCAATAGATAAAATGCACTGTGATCATAAAACTATGAATTATACAAAACTTAATTAAATTTGTTGGTAGAAAAAGCAACAAATTTGGGGTATCCGGTTCCTGTTATGTCAAATCAATCTCAACCATAACGATTATTTTTATAAGTCGAGTTAGTAGAGGTATAAATATTAAAATTTCACTTACATTACATCCACTTCATGTCATGTAAATATATTTTATATTGTGCAAGCAGTCGAGATTAATAATTATTTTATAAATATATATTAATCAAAAGAGAATCTCATAAATTCAATTAATTATCGTCAAACGTTCTAATATTTTGAATTATCTCTCAACTTTTTTTTTTTTTTTTCCAATCTCATTGAATTTCCACCACAAAATTCCATGGATAATAATCACTACTGGGTGACTCTATTAGAGTCTCACATTGACTAAACACACTCAAGCCTAATGGTTTATAAGAGAGGGTAATTCTCCTATTTAACAAGGTCTTACTGGGTAAGGAGTTAGACCCATCTCAAATTCTATCAGACTCAGCGATCAACTAAGACTCTTAGTATATTATTCAAGATGTCTTGAATTTGATCCACTTGGTTTGTTAATAAGGGTTGCCATTAAGAGGATTTATCCAATCATCAACTTCAGGATCCTAAGAGATGAATTGGACTCTTAGTATATTATTCAAGATGTCTTGAATTCAATCCACTTAGTTTGTTAATAAGGGTTGCCACTAAGAGGATTTATCTGACCATCAACTTCAGAATCCTAAGAGATTAATTGGACTCTTAGTATACTATTCAAGATGTCTTGAATTCGATCCACTTGATTTGTTAATAAGGGTTGTCACTAAGAGTATTTATCTAACCATTAATTTTAGGATCCTAAAAAATTAATTGAGGTATAAGTAAACTGGTCTAGACAAATAAATAAATTCCATGAATAAAAATCCTGGGCCAACCCCAATTGTCGTTGGTAGAAAATAATTAATTTGGAGAGAATTCTCTTTCACATGCATCCAATTTTTCATGTACCTTTCTCTTTAACAATCAAGGCATAATTTTTACAACAATTGGCACCTTTTGAATTTCTCCACCTTATCATAGTTTGAACAACATCTTATCATAGTCTCGATTTCTCCATCTTTTGTTTTCCTTGCCCTTTTAATATTTGGACTTTTGTTGATGGCTCAAGTGGTGGGTCTCCATCTTAAAATCAATGCATTGATGTTTTCTGTAATTATTTTCTTTTTAGACACGTGGTCTTTAGTTTAAACTTTAATTTTAATTTTATTTTATATTAGAATAAGTAAAAAAGTTCAAACATGAAATACTTTTATGTATCATATCATATCAAATGCAGGTCAATTATTGATGCCCAAGCGGTGGGGTCCACTTTTATTGAAAATGAAATTGGGAATACAAGAAAATGCTTTTACAAACACGTTTTGCCGTTTTGGTGCTTGGAAACTTTATAGAAACGACTTTGGATCCACCTGGAATTAGCAAGTACTCAAGTGCTTTCTTCGTCTTTTCCTCCTTCAATCTTCTTTTACTTTTACTTTTATTCGTGTTCACGTGGTGGGTCTCCACTGTAATCAACTATTCACATTAAATTTAAAAATCAAAACACTCTCTTCTTCTTCTTCAGTTTTCTTCTATCCCTCAATTTTCAGAAATCACTCAAAAACACTCTCACTCAAACCTCTCTCACCCCTTCAGATACCACTTAAAATACTTTTCCCCTATTCTTGTTCTGTTATTTGATTTTGCACCTGTTATTGTTTCTGTTTTATTTTTTACTTATTTTTTATATTTTTCAAACTTGAGGAAGAAGTGAAGGAGAAAAAAAAGTGTTAAAATGGCTGTAGAAATTATTGGGAGTACCGCGGGTGCCGGGAGTTTTGTTCTGGATCTTGTCAGGTGCTTGGCTGCTCCGATTGGGCGTCCATTTAAGTACTTGTGGAATTACAACACCAACTTCATAAATCTCGAAAAAGAAGTTGATAAGCTGAAGGATGCAAGAGTCAAAGTGCAGCGTAAGGTTGATGCTGCTATAAACAACGTGGAAGAGATTGAAGAGACTGTGGAGAAGTGGCAGAAGGATGTCGATTCCATCATTGGTGAAGCAGAGCAGTTGATTCAGGAGAAAGCAAACAACCCGCATTGTTTCAAGGGATTGTGCCCCAACTGGATCAACCAATACAAACATAGCAAGAAAGCATTCAAGTTAAAGGAGAATGATATCAGTCAACTCCTAGATAAGGAATTCAATGAAGTTTCTTATCCTACTAATCCACCAGAGATATGGCTTAGATCTAACAAAGATTACGTGGCTTTGGAATCCAGAACTTCCACTTTGAAGAATGTTCGGGATGCATTGCCCTCTAATTAACTTCGAAAATTAAATTTCTATGTTAATTCCATATCAGAAACCAGTTCTAACATAGGGCTATTTTCAATTACCACCACAGCATATCTCCCTTGCACCCACACCACAACACTCCCCATTGCGCCACCCCCAGAACACCCCACCTTAAACCCACCACCACATCAGCCACAACAAAACCAGATCACAATCAATCAACTTCACAAATCAACCAACAACACCACCCAGTTTAAAACAACCTCCCTAGCCCAAATTGATGCATAAAAAAACACCCAAGGTGTTCGTTGAGTTTTCTCGAGGAAGAAGATGGGTTTAAGGGGAATGGGGGTGGGGGTGTGGCGGTAAGAAGAGTGAAGGGTTAGGAATAAGATTTTTAGGGTTTTATGTTATCTTAACTGGTTAATACACTCTGTAAATCTTGCTCTGCCCTTCACTCTAGTTTTTCAGGGTTTATCATGGCTGTCCGTAACATTACTTTCTGACTTAAATTTAAAGTATATAATTAATATTTAAGATTATTTTATTAGATGGCGTTAGTTAATTATTTTCAGCCTAAATTTACAGTGTGAGATGACTTGGCAGCGTTTATTTACATTTCCCCTCGTTTTCTCATCACTTTTATTTTTCTTTTCGATAAATATGTCTTAAAGCTCTTGATAACGACAATATATTTCTATTTTTTTAGAGATGCGAGTGGAAAGAATTTTATTTGGTTTAGTGCAGTTAATTTTATTTTCCAATTTTTTTTATGGCTGTTTAGGAAAAAGTCTAATAATTGCTTGAGGAAATAACAACATTTAGAATTTTTCTTGTTTGAAAAAAGTTATATCCAAATAATATGCTACATTTATCATCACTCTTTTACACATTTTCATTACATCATGATGTGGCAATATCCACAACTACACAAATTTTTTATAACTATAAAATTCAAAATAATTAAAATTTTATGTGATTTGTATGAATGCCATATCATATGTATGAAAATCAGTAAAAGCGTGGTGGAATATAACATTATTCAACCCGAAACATCACCACTAGCCTACTACCATCCTTTAAAACAATCAACCTTCCGAACATACACACATCACTGCTACCACTTTTCAAACCTATCCCACCATTCACAGTTATAACCATAATTATAATCACAAATTTCTAATCATCCTCCCAAATATCTATATTTTTTCTTTAAGAATTTGGAGGAAAAAAAACGTGAAAGAAAAATAAAGGTTTATCAACAAATCACCTGCACTCTTTGGGGTGGGGATTTGGTTCGGTTGCCCACGGTTTGGGCTTCTAGGTGGGTTTTTGGCAGGGAAGTGGGTGCGGGATCTTATTAATTTTTCTGATATTTTATTTTGTAATAATTAATTTTTGGGTTTAGTCATCCCCACAGAGATTGAAGCTAATTTATAAAATCTCCTTCTGATATTCTAAATACAAAAAAAAAAAAAAAAAAAAAAAGGCCCTGACGTTAATTGTTATTATAACTTTTGACATCTCACTGATATATGCAAAGGAGCAATGTTAAACCGATACCGAAAAAATGATACCGATTCATGAATCGATAGACGTGGCACCATCTCTTTTTTAAAAAAAATTATTTATAATTAATAGACAGTTTGAGATGTCACGTTTTTTCGGTGTTGAATTAGATATATTTTTTTTCCGTAATTGTATCATTTTCATGGCCATAATCCCATATTTGCCGTTGACCACAAGCACAGAATGACGACTACTTGTCCCTTTTATAAAAATAAACGGTTAGAAAGGGTGTTCAAATATTAAATCTTTTTATTTTTAAGTGCAACTATTTATATTTAGTTTATTTTTATTTTTTTTAATCTAAACCGTATTTTTTCTATATATATCACCCAACCATATATAGTGTACATAATGTAAATTTTTTAAAAACTTGAAATCAAATTTCGTGTACTAATAAATGGCACTGTTTTGCTTTAAGATGTTTGTACACCTTAGATCCTCTTAATTTTCTATTCATTTACACATCTTCAATCTTCTATTTTAATTTGTTACACTTCTTTAAAATAGACAGAAATTTAAAGTATATTCATTAAGACATGTTTTAACTAATTCTTATATTTGAATTAGTTTTAATAGATATCATTTAGTATTATAGTGCTTATGCACTACTATTATAACACAGTCTTAATAAGCTTTGATTAGACATTTTAGAGATGAGAGTTAAAGAATACTATTTGGATAATGCAGTTTATTTTTATTTTCAAATTTTTTATGGTTTTATTTAGAAAAGATAAATAAGATGCTAGAGGGAAAATACACACTTGAACTTTTTTTTTATTTTTAAATCCAAAGCATGTAAAATCAATGCATTAGTTATAATCCTACTTCCTGTGAGGTGGTGTAATTCAAACCCGTGGATTGAATTCTTTGCCACAAGATGTATGGGAATGTGGTTTGCCTATTGTCATTTGTACATAGCAAAAGCATTAAGAACAAGAGTCTCCATCTGATTGGAAAGTTGCCTTGGCGAGAATTAAGGAGCCCTTCACGACAAAGTTCATAGGATTACTAGGAAAAATAGAAGATGCCTTGAGTTACAAATATTTAAGAGATGATGAGCTCAAGAAAACTTTTTTAATTTCTAGTCTAATGAAAATATCTTCCATTTCAGACTTGTTCAACATGTTGTGGTTGGATATACTTGAAGGAGCTAATGAAAATGGAAGAGCAAGAGTAATAGTAAATTGGTCGGACCTAAAGACTCTTGTTTGTTACTGAAGTTCAACGGCGAACAATTTGCTATGCATGATGTTCCGTGCTGTTGCCGATACATATTATACACCACCAGTTTTACAGGGAGAAATGATTGAAAGGGAATGGAAGATAAGATAAACTCAAAATGCACAAAAATCTCCTTACTGATAGTAGTACTTATTAGTAGTTGGCTAAATCGGATTCCAAATCTTAATATTTCTATGGTAATCTGCTCTTCAAAATCCCTGAGATTTTTCACAGTGATGCCAAAGCTCAAAGTTTTAATTTATTTTAATGCCAACATCATTGTCGTCACTTGATCTTTACACAACTCTCAACTTGTGTTTAATGATAGCAATGAAGATGTTGCTATTATTCGGAACTAAAGAACT